TGGAGATATTCTGACCGTCGATCGGTACTAACGTGTTGGATTTAGCTTACATGTACACGAGTGGGCCCGACATCTGTTGGCAACATTTTTTGGGATCAACAGATAACAATGAGTGTTTTTTGGTGCGTGATTGTGGGAGTTGAATAGTTCAAGAAGGGATTGGTGTTTACGTCCTCATAATTTTCTTAAATGATAGTTAGCAAAATTTGAACTCAAATTGTTACATATAGGATACATTAATTCATTTGAATATTAACTCTTAGATTCCTTTTAGTGAGATGTGATCCGCGTAATTGAGCCATTCATCTATACTATATATGTGCTGAACTTCATCAATGAACAATGAAGATTATGTAGAATTTGTCTTACTCTGTCTATGTGCTTCATCTTTTGAGGGTTGACGTTCAAGTTATTATGTTAAAATGGTGATGCTCTTATTTTTTGAACTATAGATGAGTAGCTTGAGAGCATGAAGTTTTCAGTTTTGCTCTCACATAATAAGGGGACGAGCGGGAAAAAAAGGCCCTTCTCAATAAGGATATATTAGACATTTAATGTTTAATCTTGAAAGACAAATGTCGAATGAAAAACTTTGCAGTTGAATTTACCTTAATAAAAGCTAAATAACCTAACTTAGTGACTAGTTAATATAAAAATTACTGTTTGATGATCACTTTAGAACAAGTTAAGTTCCACAACAAATTACACCTATCTACAAGTTGGCGATGAACAAGATTTTTAGTTTTTTCTCCTTTAGTTTTGTTTTCATGTTGAATTTCTTGCTTCTCGACTTAGATTTTTTTTTTTTTTTTGAGAACTTGTATAGAAAAGGATTTCTCGCTGTGCAATAGTTCTTTCATACCAATTTGAGTAGTGCTATATATCATCATGATAATGATAAGTAGCGTTATTCTACCTCTTGTCCTTTAAATTTTTCTCTCTCCTCCCCCCTCTCTTATAAAAATTGAAGTGTCTAGTCTCATTATTCCATTCAGCCTATCACATCATCGATATTTCATCATAATAATGATAAGTAGTATTATTCTACCCATTTAACTTTCGTGTGTTGCTATTGGCATAACTGGTAGGCCATAGATTGGACAAACCCAAGACGAAGTACTGGGTTAGCTCTTCGAGGTTTTCCTTTTAACACTAGTAGTAGATAGGAATTGAACTGTTTCATGACGTTTGAAATCCAACTCATATATCACTTGAATTGATGAACAACCGAACTCCTGGGACTTTCTTCAAGCCGTAATAGGTTATCAATGTTCATGTCGAATTGGTGCCAAACTAAACTTAATTATGTTCCGGTGCTCACGTCCACTTGTGCCCATCGAAGTCACTCAAGGTCAAGAAGTCATGGTCAAGTAAACTTAATTATGTTCCGTTGCTCACGTCCACTTGTGCCCAGCGAAGTCACTCAAAGTCAAGAAGTCATGGCCAAGTGGAAAGTGTTTCAGAATTCAAATGGATATAACTAGTAATACTACTTAGCATGCATTACAATACCACTGTATGGCATCAAATGACATGGTTAATTAAATGTCTAATTTGCTTTCTATATTTAATTGAGCTTATCATTTAAGAGTAATGGTATTTAACATTATTGATGTAATAACATTCAGGGGCGGAGCCAGACTTTGTACGTAGGGGGGGCCTAGAGGTCGAGGTAGAGGTAGAGGTAGAGGTGA